TCTTCAAACAATTCCCTTTGGTACGCCCGTGCTAAGTGTTTCGCACCGAAAAAGGCCCCAAACCGTTTGACGAAGTCATTGCCACCTGTTTTTATGTTCCCTTTTCCTTTTCATACCTGCAGCCCAAACCGACATTAATAAGATTCGAACCTGGGTCTTGTCGCCCAGCTAATAGCCCATAAGGCGACTCTGGTCCCCTACCAGAAGCGGCGCTTGCCGGGATGCCAGTGTATGCATAGCAGCATTCAGCGTAGTGGTAGGAGTACCAGCTGAACGTCTAAAAGTACCCGGTTCCATTCCTGGCTATGTCTCCGTTACAGTCGGGACTCGAGCCTTCCATTGCTCAGCTCCAGACCGACCCGGAAATCATACCCGGGTCGCCTCGATGCCGACGAGGCATTCTACCACCAGACCACAAACGCTGAAGAAGTAACAATACCTGCGGGTCGCGGGGCCCACTACCAATCCGACCCTCACAGGTAGTCCAAATCGAGAGCAAGCCGAAATGATTGCCTCCGGAACCCAGCGGGATTCGATTCCGTCCCATGGGACTCACCGTGATGGGAGTTCGGGCCCCGCCCTCAGTTGTAATGATCCTTTGGTTTAGTGAATGTGGCGGGTGCGTGATCACCAGTTGCCCCCTTCTTCTTCATTAAGCATCCGAGTTGATGCGTAGTCATCACTCGTGTTTATCATATTCGTCGACTTTGGTGTTGCTTCATCACCTGTCGATATATCTGAACCTGAGTAAGCGTCTGGCTCGGCGTCTACCTTTTCATGACGCCTGCCTTCTTCCTATTTCGTACCTTGAGACCAATTCTTAGTGGTCTCGGTATTCTTAACATAGCTGCCTCGTCTGGGCTGATTCGTATTGCCCGCTGGGTACTTCTTCTGACATGGGTTGCTGCTGGACGTTCATCGGTTGCTGTTGGCTGTGTACTGAAGTCAAGTCTAGGGTCGGTGGTCGTACGGGCTGTGCTGGTACAGCTTCTTGGATCTTGCGATGCATGTCTTCGTTAGAGGAATCGATTCTGCCATAACTTTCTGATCGTTATACATTACCACCATCCCAGCTTGCTTATCAGATGCGTCGACGTAAATCGTTATCGTATTGCCCTTAGAGGGTCTTATTCGTTCGATTTCCCATGGGGAGTCGACTGCATCTATTAAATCTCTGACCACGTTTGTTACGTGTTTCATCTTTAGCAATATTTGACGTATCTTCGTCAACGAGTTTCGAACGCCCGTCCTATGGATCATTTTATAATAGGATAATTGGTGCGTCGCTCGCGTTATACCATCTACACATTCTGAACGTAGCAACTTTCTAATCTGTTCAGCTTTGTCTTTGGGTATTCCAATAGACTCTTTCGTGAACTCATAACCGAGTATCACCAGTGTAGTATTCGTAGATGACTTCTCTTTATTGATCTTGAAGCCATACTCGCGTAGGTGACGTATCACTCTACCGTATCGGTCGAAGTATTCTTTTCTATCTTCCCCGGCTACTATTATATCGTCTTGGTAAGACCTTACATGCGTCTTATCAATGTCGAGTAGCTGTCCCAGCACTTTCATCATTACGGTCGCGAAGTGCTTGGGAGCACACATTGCACCCATAGGCATGCGCATATATCTATACGCAGTGCCGTCCATACCGAGAAACGAATAGTAGTTCGTCTGGTCTTCCGCGATGGGGATAGCGTGGAATGCCTTCGATAAGTCGATCTTCATGATCTCCTGTTGTCCGGCCGCCCATGCGATCACTGGTCCAATCGCTTGCATATTCGGGAACTTACCCTCGTCATTCGTGTACGGATATAGGCATTGGCAGTTGTGTGTAACTCGTCCGCCAACTACGTGCGGGTTTAGAATGGCTTTCACCTCTGCTCTATCGACCTTCTCAATGGTGCGATCTTCAAGTCGATCACGTATCCATTGTTCGTAGATCACAGCGTTCTCACCTGTAAAGCGTGGTTTGGTCCAACGAATCGTTGGAGCCCCTGCTAGGTGTTCCGAGAACGCCGGTAACGTATGGGATTTTCTCCCCGAGCCCCCTTCTTCTTCATTAAGCATCCGAGTTGATGCATAGTCATCACTCGTGTTTATCATATTCGTCGACTTTGGTGTTGCTTCATCACCTGTCGATATATCTGAACCTGAGTAAGCGTCTGGCTCGGCGTCTACCTTTTCATGACGCCTGCCTTCTTCCTATTTCGTACCTTGAGACCAATTCTTAGTGGTCTCGGTATTCTTAACATAGCTGCCTCGTCTGGGCTGATTCGTATTGCCCGCTGGGTACTTCTTCTTATACGTAGCATTAGTAGCGTTCTGCTTTGCCTGAGGCTTCGGTTTACGTTCGTCAGGTCTCTTTCTTGAGCTTACGTTATAGACTCCCAGGGGTTTCAGAATCTGCCCAGTCTCAATGCGATGCATGGTGCCTTCTTTCCCGTAGGCTATGCAGCTCAATAAGATGTTTACTGATAAGTCATGCGATATCAGCCCTTGATCGATCAACTGGTTGATTCTAGCGATCAGCTTATCGGAGTTATCGATCTCCGGGTCAATCAGTGTCTTTCGCAGGATCTTATTGCGCACTTCGAAGGCTTTGTCGGGCGACATTCGCACACCTTTTAACCGACTCAACATCTGTCCTGGATCACCCACCATATAGTCAATGTGGGACCACTCGTCGGTCGTCAGCGTGTGCCGCCTGTCTCGTCTGTGCCCGTCTGAGCTTCTGTCAGAGTAATACACCTCTTCTAACATGGGTTGCTGCTGGACGTTCATCGGTTGCTGTTGGCTGTGTACTGAA